TCATAGAGGTAAATCAAGCGACACTCCCATCTCCATGACATTAGAGGTATCCACAGCTGTGCAAAGAAGTCCCCAGTGTCAAATATAAGGCCCCAGCTAACGACTCAACATGCACTTTTTGTTCTGCTCTATTTGCTCCTCTCCCACCGACTCTGGGGCTCACACTCTTTCGTCTCCCTGGCAAACCATCCTAGTCCATCCATTCCGCCTGACCCCACCCCAGCCCAGCCTTCATTCATGCATCCTAACCGTGTGCCCGTTGCACATGCCGCAGTTAGGTTATTCTCCGCTGAATGGTCGCCACGAGCCGCTCTTTCACACCAAAATGTTTAAGAAGGAGGAGGAGGTGGGGAAGGAGGAAGAGAAACAAGTGAATCTTTGCAAAGCTTCTCGGAGCACTTACCAAGTCCTCAGGTCTGCGCTCAGCACTTTACATGCACGATCTAGCTAACGCCCACGGGAGTGCCGTGAGGTCGCTGGGGATGCTTTCCACAGAGGAGCAAACAGGTGCTTGTTCCTGAGGTCCCAAGTGGGAGCAGAGCCAGGGAAGGAATGTAGGCAGTGTGGCCCCAGAACTTACCCCGTGCCCCCTCCCGTAGGTGTTGCATCTTCACAGGAGCCAGGGCAGTGACTTTTCCAGCCTATGATCATTCGCAGCACCAGATCTGCTCGGGTGGCCGGCCTACCCAGACAGCAGCCGGTTAGTCAGAGTTAGTCTGGAAAACGCCAGCACGCCCCCGAGAGGCAGTCCCAGGAAGTTTAGCACCCAACATGACATCACAGTGCCTCCCCAAGCCCCCAGTACACAGCAGGTCTTCTGGCCATTAATTTGGCTCATCATCCCTTGCTGGAAAGTTAAGACGTTCCTCACGGTGCAGAGGTTGGTCATAATGGTGGAAGCTACTGTTTGCAGGGATTGTGCGTCTTCACAGTTACCCTCCCAGTGGCCTGACGACGCAGCTCCTGCTGAACTCCATGCAGCAGATCAGGAAGCTGCATTCAGAGCCTTGCAGAGCCCCGCCACCACCACCCCGGCTAGTAGGCCACACATCCCGGGTGCCCGTCTTTACTCTGCAGGTCAAGCTGGTGCCTAGTAATACGCTGGGTATTTTCTGGACGGGATGCAATGCTCTGAGGACTGGTCCACGAAAGCAGCTTCCATCAGTATTGTTACAGTGATGAGGAAAACCCCGATTCCTAAATGGGGCCACTGTCTGCATGGAGGTTCACGTTCTCCCCTATCTGCATGGTTTTCCGGGAAGTCCAGGTTCCTCACATCCCAAAGGCGAGCACTTGCCGAGCACTGGTCTAAATTGTCCCCGTGGCATGAGTGTGGTTGGGGTACGCTGCGCCTCACGATGGAAAGGCATCCTGTCCAGGGTGGGCTGGGTCCTGCCTTGCCCCCCGAGCTGCCGGGAGAGGCTCTGGCCTCCCACGACTCTGAACTGGAATGAGTGAGCTGGAAAATGAGCAAATGAATGAAGACAAATTCCTGTTAAATTTCAGCCGCGTTTTGGGTCTTTCTTTACATGTTTGGTGTTTTGTGACTAGAAATATGTCACAGGAACTTAACTCTTGCTTATGTCTCTTAGCCTATGGCACAGTTGGCTTTTTGAATGTCATCTGCCGTTTCTAAGAATCTCTGGGAGACATTACATGAGGACTGACTGTCCTTTTTCCTCCAGTTTTGGTTTTTAACCAGATCCCAACCCTGGGCTCTGGCTGTGCTCAAGTCCTGTGCCTGAGGCTGTTGCACGTCTTCTCCTCCTGTCACTGGGAACATTCTCCAGGCCCCAACCCAGGGGAGACCCAGGCACACCCACTTTCTCTCTGGAGAGAGAGAGACCATAGGCTGTGGTTTGAAAAGCATCTAGTTTCCCTCTGCTTGCTTTCGGAATTAAAACATGAAAAGCCATAGGAGGCCTGTGAATCCCTACTGAGACCAATCGGTGACATTTTCAAACACTGGATGAGCTGTTTGTCAACTGCGTGTTTTGCAGCACAGGGAGGGTTTGCAGACATGCTGGCAGCCTCCCCCCACCTTCCGCTCAGCTGCAGATGGGGGTGGTTCTCTTAATAGGGTGCTTTTGGGGACCCCCACCTCTGCTCATGTTTCTGAAGCTGAGCATGTCCAGCAGGGCCTGTTTCCTGTGCACCCGATGAGTTGCATGGTGGCCGGAGAGGCGCTGGCATCATCATCCATTCGTAGCAGACGGTGTCTGTGGCCTGATTGTGAGCTGCAGAAACAGGCCCTTGGTGGGGACTGCCGTCAGCCGTGGTGCCTGATGGGATGGGAGTGAGGATCCCCGTTCATGGCAGGCAAACTGGTGCTCTGTTGGGGGGGGGGGGGTGGGCTTCGGTTCCTCTTCATACGGGACCTTTCCACAGGGATGCTTGAGTGTCCTCAGAAATGGCAGCTGGCTCCCCCTTGAGCGAGTGATTCCAGAGACCATGGTGGAGCTGTAGTGTCACGTACCGTGGGAGTCACACTCTCGCTTCCTCTGTATTTAGTTGGTCTCACAGGACAAGCCAGGAGGCAGTGTGTGGGGGAACTACACCTGAGGCTGTGATCACCAGGAGATGGGGGCTCTTGGGGTCCATTGTCCCTAGTATTCGTGGCCACCATATTGGTCTTCCTTCACTTCCCCTCACTCCTGGCCTCCCTCTACCTTTCTGTCACAATGACGGCTTATCTTGGAGGCTCAGCAAGGACCAGTCATGGCTTTGTGGGGCCTGAAACTTTTTTAAATTAGGGACCCTCTTCAAGAGAAAGAAGACAAACTGTCTTGATTGGCAATTTTTTCTGATCACGTGATTGTGACCAGGTCCCTCCCAGGCAGTGTCTGTGCACACAAACCTTAAACTTCACCAGCCTCATAGCAATGACCTTCGTTGTGGTCTCGGTATGGATGGTGATCCCTTGGGTTCCCTCGTCGATCCCACAGGCTAAGAAACTTCCATTGCTTCTGTCTCCCCACTAAGGCAACATTCATTGCACATTCCTTAGGCCACTAAGAACTTTCCTATCCCAAAATGCTTTATGCACTTGCTCTCAGACACTATGCAAAAGGCCACAGACCCAGCCAAGATCCCTGCCTTCCTTGAACCTGCATTCTGGTGGGGAGTGAGGAGAGAAGCAGTAAATAGGCAAACAACAAAGTTTTTTTTTTTTTAATGATTTCAGTTGGTAAAGGGTGTGATGAAGAAATGAAGCAGGGACATCACGGGCGGCCTCGCTGGGGAACTGATGTTTGAACTGAGACCTGGATGAGGGGAAAGAGTCAGCCAAGGGAACACCTGGGGAAGTAACTGTTCCCGGCAGAGGGAAGAGCAAGTGCAAAGGTCGTGAGGCAGAAATGGGGATTTCGGGTGCAGATTGAGCAGGGAGACCAGTGTGGCTGGAGTGTAGTGATAAGGGTGAGCAGGACCACGAGAATGGAGGGGCAGGTTAGGGACATGGAATGGAAGGACATCGCAGCTGGGCAAGAAGACTACATTTTATTTTAAAAATCTACATAGCATGAAAGGAACCACTTGGAAATGTACAGCTCAGAGGCCTTTATCACATTCACGTGGTGAGCAGCAAACACCTCTCTCTAGTTCTGGGTTTCACTGCAAGTCGAGAGGAAGCCCTGGGAGCTTGTTTAGCATTTGTTCATCCCCAGAGGCCCCCGCTCCAAGGCACGTGTCCACCAGAATTTCCCAGCGTACCTCCTCTTTGCCTTTCTCCAAAAAAAGACTGACCCCAAGACATCTGCTTTCCCTTTGCTTCCAAACTCTTCCCCCTCTGCGCTTGCGAGGGGCTGAAACGGGTGAGGGAGAGGGAGAAGAGGGAAGAAGAGGGGCCCTTAATATCCAACTTTGAGTGTCAAAAGGCAATTTCATGCCTGCCGACGTGATTAGAGTGGTGGAAGTAATAGGCTGGCAGTTAATGGGCTGCTGGCTCGAGAGGATTCGGAGTGACTGATTTTTTTCCTACCAGGGATGAGAATTTCTAGTGGTATTTGGCTCTGCCTTCCTCTGAGGTGATGCACCTCAGTGCCCTGGGGCGTGAACCGTGTTATTAGTGAAGATGATAATAATTTGCTATGGACCACAGTGTTAGCTCCCCACCCAGCAAGCCTCTGACCCTCTGCACCACTACTGGGGCCATGCAGGCAGGCACTCAGCTGTATCTGTATTGTGGAATTAAATGTGTAGAGGTTGCACAGGTCCGAATCCCACCTCTGCCACTTCCCGGTCAGGTCACCTTGGACATATAGTCTAGTTTCTCCATTTCTCAGTCTCCTTTCCATGACATAAGGACAATTGAAATTCCTGCCCTGTAGGATGTTGGGAGGGTTCAATGAGGTGATACAGGCACACGGGAGGATGATGTCAATGAGCTGATGTGGGCAGACAGCAGGTGCTATGCCAGTGTTTGCTTAAAAAAAAGGAAGAAAGACCAAGAGGAACACAGAAAGGAACTCAGAATACTATGGGAGCTTTTGAGGCCAGAAATCTGGATGTTTCTGTGAAATCAAGAGGTTTTTATAAACCTAGTGGTGACTAGTTGGTGCTGTTTAAACTAGTGACCCTCACAAAGCAATGTCGTGCCAGGGGCCGGGGCTGGTGTCAGTGTGGGATCCAGGACATCACCTCATCGTCCCCAAAGTGCTTCCACTCCAGCCCTAGACATGTGTGGTCATGGAGTCTTTTCCTCAGGACACTGTTACCCTCCAGGCTCCATGAGCCTCCAGCACATGCCAAGGTAGAGTGCCTACCATGTGCTAAGCACTTAATGAAACAACCACAGCAGCACCCTATGAAGGAGGCATGTGTCCCATTGCACAGAGGAGCACATGCAGGCCCTGAGAGATGATTCTTTTGCCCGGCGCCTCCAGGCCAGCAGCGATTTAAATGGAAGTTTCCTAGACTCGAACCATTCCCAGACACAACCCTTACTCTCCACTGACCCTTGGGCTTCTCTCAGTCTCATGCCTTCCCAAATCACCTTTCAGGCTCCAGGGAGGCTGGCCCATCCACCCCAGTGGGCAGCCGGACAGACAGAGGAAGCAGGAAGAGCTGACGGATGAGGAGAAGGAAATCATCAACAGCGTGATCGCTCGCGCTGAGAAAATGGAAGAGATGGAGCAGGAGCGAATTGGGTGAGCCTGACACTTCTCGGTCATCCCAAGCATTCCGAGGAGTGAGCGCCAGCAGGGGGTGTGCTGGGTGGGGTTTGTTATGTATGACCCTCCAGGTCACTGGTCAAATGGAAGGGGGTAGGGAGTGGGCAGCGGGCTGGCTGGGGAGCCTTAAAGGGAGCCAAGGGAGGATCTCCTGGGAGATAGGGAGCTGGGAGGCTGTCATTGGGTGTGTGTGCAGAGGCTCTCTTAGCCAACTCAGCCGCATGGAGCTGTGTCCATAGAGACTTGGGCTGTGTCAGTGCCAGAACGGAGGCCTAGTGCGAGGTAGGGCAGAGAGGGAGCATGAGCAAAGAGCATGTAAAAGAGCGAGCACTTGGCAATGAATTGTGGAGGAGGAGGGGAGAGGTCAGTTCCAAAAGTGGAGGCAGCCTGAGGGAACTGGAAGGACAGGATTTCCACCTCAGCTCCCGCTTGCCCTGGACATGTGCGTCTAGGCGTGTGGCCTCCGCCGAGCTTATGCATTTACAGAACAGGAACCCCAGCAGCCATCCCAGAGGATTGCTGTAGAGAGTAGGGAGTTCCAGGCCCAGGCCCTGGTGATACTTCATGTTGTATAAATGGTAAGAAGAGGAGGAAAAGAGGCCTTTGGAGGGCAGAAGGACGAAAATGCATGCAGGAGAGAAGCCAAGGACATAAGAAGTGTGTGTGATGTGTGTGCAAGAGAGTGACAAGGTGGATGAGGAAGGACAGTGCTGGGGGTGAGGGGAGCATAAATAGGTGGGGTGAGAGGGAGGCCTGGGGAGAGGGGGGAGATGGCCAGAGAAGGGAGAGGGATGATGACTGAGCTGACAGGGGTGAGCCTGCGTGTGTGGGGGTGCTCGGCACAGGGGGGAGCTGGCCCCCAGGAGTAGGGAAGACACTAAGGCCCCTCCAAGACTGGAATCTCTGCTAGGAAATGGAGGGGGTATGGGGGTACCTCCTCCACCCCAGCCTCCTCCCTGGTGTCTTCTGTCAGGACAGCTGTGCCAGCCACTTGCAGCTGCTGTGTCTCCTCAGCCACATGCTCAGCCGGGGCTGCCAAGGTTCTTGGAGGGAAAACGATGTTGCGAACACGTGGAAGTGGGTGCCTTTGATTTGAGCTCCTGCAGATCCTTCTCCTCAAGGGGAGCTGGGGAGATCGGAGGTGCTGTTCACAAATGCCAAATGCCACCACAGCTTCCTGTGGGGCCCTCGCCGGTGAGGCAGAAGTCTTGAAGGACCTGCTTGTAGGGCTGAGTTTTTATTTGGCTTTTAAAAATATACATCAGGGGAGGGAAGTTATCCAGGCTGGAGTCTGTGAGTGTGTGTGTCTGCATGTGAGTGTGTGCGAGTATGTCTGAGTGTGTGTCTTATATGTGGTGTGTGTGCACGTCACACAACAGTGAGCCTCAGCCTCATGGGAAGGTGGGAAATAGATATTAACATGAACATTTAGAAGCAAGAATTCAACCTCTTTCCTGCATAGCACTTACCACCAACTAACACGTTTTGTATTTTGAACATTCCATCTGATAGTTGTCTGTAGATTATAAGATGCCTGTTTTCTTCACCCTGGAATCCCCCGAGCCTGGTACATAGTAGGTGTGCAGTAAAATATTTGTGGAATGAATAAGTGACATAGCAGAGGATGTGACCCCACTTTCTTTCCACATCTCTTATGGCCAAGAGACTGGAGAGTTTTGGATCTTCCCAGGCAAGGTCCAGATTCCCAGAGGAGATGCCCTGATTGGTTGGCTGATGTCAGGCGCCACCACTGGTCCAGTCAGCTGTGGCAGGAGTGCTGGACCGTGTTGAACAAACTTGACTGGTCTGGGAGTAAAGTGGGGTAGAGTCTGGCTAAGTGGATTCCAACTTGGACATTCTAGAACAGGATATATGGGATCCCTGCCTTGTCCTCCATGACTTTCCATCCAGAAGGACCTGGGTTCAAATTTGAGCTCCGCCACTTACTCCCTATGTGACCTTGGATCAACCACTCTACCTCCCTGAACCTCAGTTTCCCCATCTGCAAAATGGGAACAGCGCTAGCCCACACTCCTTGGTGAGTGTTTAATCAGCATGCAATGGAGGACAGTGGCGTCTGACCCAGAGAGCTCAGTCAATAAATGCTGGCAATCATTTAGCGGTGAGTTTGCTGAGGAAGCCTAGCTTTGGGCGCTGACCCATGCCTCTGTTCTAGAATTTTGCCCTGAGATTCCTATTTGGCAAGCCCTGGAGTTCTAGCAGACCCTGGGTTCCCCTGAAGGAAATTTGAGAGGCTTCCAGGGAAGCAGGCCCAGATCTGTGGCGACCGCACACCTCTGGGAGCTTTCTGTCCAGTGTCCAGAGTGGGAAGGGCCTGGGAGATGCCAGCTCCGCTGTGCTGAGCTCTCCCTGTAGTCAGCGCTCACTGGTGGCATCGCCAGAGGCGAGCCCCGAGCTGTTGAGTCTTATGAGCTCAAACCTGCCCTCATTCCTGTTCAGCCCCTGCTTCCCTGGCACAGGATCAGAGTGGCGTCAGATGAAAGAGAAAGCAAAGGACGCATCAGATGTGGAGTGAGGCTGAAAATGGAGTGCCACCGGGCCTTGCACTTCAGACCCTAAACCTTTGGGTCTCCCCACATCCAATGAGGCAAGTTAGACTGAATTTCAGGATCTTTCCTGCCCAGACTCCATGGTATTTGGGGTGTCTGGTGGGGAACTCCATACCATGTTGTTGGCTGCACCTTTTAGCAAACAGGTTCCTTCAAACTGTGTTCAAATTGCAAATAACCAGCGTCCCCTTCCGGATCCAGACACCAGCTCTGTGCCTGCTGAATCGTTTCTTCTATTCCCTGAGTGAAAGCCATCAGGAGAGGTGTGAGATCACTGTTAAAGAACAGTAAATCATCATCATGAGCATCATTTATTGAGCATTTACTATGTGCCAAGCACTGACCCTAAAACCTCCTCTGATTAACTGACTAACTGCTCCTCCTGACTCTACCAGCCGGGTGCTATGACCACCCCCATTTTGCAGGAAACCAAGGCCTGCTGTAGGTCACATAGAACCAAGATCAATGACCCTGTCTGAATGACTCAAAAATTTGCTCTTCACCTATAACAAGTCTTTCTCGAAAACCTGGCTCCAAATTCTTAGACTTGCAGAACATGGAAATTTGGATGGCTCAGGTTTGGAGGGAACGTTTTGGGAGTTGGTAACTGGAGCTGCTCCTGTGCTGGTCCTGTATCTTCCAGCTTTATTAACCCCTTTGTCCCTCCCAAACTGCCAGAACTGGTCTCCAGGTTTTGAGAGGCTAGGGATAATTGCTCTCAGACCTCCCAGGAGGTTCTGCCTCCCTGGAACAATTATGCTAGAATTAGCACCCCAGGGACCCCAAGGTGCTTCGGCAGACCCAGCTGCCTCCCTGGTTGCTTCTGTCCCAGGGAGCATCAAAACCTTTCCTCAACTCTCAGTCCCTCACCCAGCTTCAGCTCTTCAGCTTTCCCCATGGGACTGATGATGGTCAGAAAGGAGACTCATCTGGCAACCTCATTTTGCACTCTCCCTAGTTTTTATTCAAGAGCAAAGTGTGATCTAGGAGTGGGTTTACCAACTTAGGCGAAGGGGAGCAGTGTCATAGCATGTTCTGGACTGGGCCACAATGGGGCCTGCCCAAATGGGTTACATACTTCTTCATCTAATGCGTGTTTTATTAGCATATGAAGTCTCCACTCAGGGACGTGCATGTTAGCATGCTGAGGTTGGTCATTCTCGGTGAGGAATTTTACTGACTGCACATGTGTGTCTTTCAGCCACCCCCTCTCTGGGAAATTGTGAAACAATAATTAGTTTGGACATAGCACTTTTTTTTTAATCTTCAAATAATTTTATTATTTTTTTATTTTTATATTCCCCATACAATTGCAACCCCCTGATTTTGACCCCAATTCCTCCTTTCCCCGCCCCCCATCCCCCACAGAGTGTCTCTGGTTCATAGTTGTTTGTTGATTTTGATATTTTCTTTATTATAGTTATTCTTTTTCCTGGTCCCTTATTTAGGTTTTCTAGATTCCTGCTATGAGTGAGACCATCCGGTATTTTTCTTTTTCTTTTTGGCTTATTTCGCTGAGCATGATCCCTTCCAGCGCCATCCATGTTGCTGCAAATGGCATGTGTTTATCTTTTTTGAATGCTGAGTAATATTCCATGGTGTCTATGGACCACATCTTCTTGATCCAGTCATCTATTTTTGGGCATTTGGGTTGTCAAGGCTTAGCTATTGTAAATTGTGCTGCTATACACATAGGGGTGCAGGTGCTCTTTGGAATTAATGTTTCTTGGACACAGCACCTTTTACCTAGTTCAGTCTGGTTGGCCAAGTTGTTTAAACAGGATGTGAAGCAGGACCTGCCAACTCGAGATCTAATCCACCTGTTCAAACAAGGTGTTAGATAAAGCAGGGCATTAGGTAGCTCTCATCCTACTTGTAATTTTGCTCACTTCCACTGTCTCACAGGGAAGGAAGGTGTTGATGGGAGCCATCTTTGGAGACTCGACCACATCAGTCTCTAAAACGAGGGGTTAATACCAGGATTCAGAGATATCTCAAGGGATCTGAGGGTAGGAACACAGCCTATACTCATAAAAGTTCTGTTTCTCACCCCGACCATGAGCAAAAGACCCCAGTTGTTAGGGTGCTTCTTAGATTACACCTAATCTTAGTCCTAATTCCAGATTCCCAGGGAAGGAACTCTGATTGGCCCAGCTCACCCACAAAACCCGCTCCTCATCCAATCAGCTGCAGCCCGAGGTGCCTGGCTGGACGCGCTTCTCCCCAATGTGGTAGCCTGTGGAGGGGGATGGACACTTGGGGGTGGCAGAGGATTTTTAGAATGTATTAAATTTGGAAGTAAACATTTGCCTGGGGAAATTGTGATTGTGTTTTTTGTTTTTTCCCCAGTGGTAGGTTCCTCTGAGTCCTTACTCTATTGCTTTCTACCCAGAGCCTCTCAAAGGC